TGGGCCGCCTGCAGCGGAGCGCAAGAGCTTAACCACTCGGCCACAGGGCCAGCCCCTTTACATCTCTTTTTATAGAATATTTAAGTATTTGTTGTGGTCTGCATTAGATGTTGACATGATATCTACAAACAGGAAGTGTAAAAGAAGAGACATAATTTTTAAACCATTTGGTTTAGCCAAATTTATTTATTCCAAAATGAATTATTCCAAATTAGTTTGGCATAGCCAAGATAAGAAAAAAAGGTATTTTAATCACGCTCAGTTCTTTGCAAGTCCATTTTCCTACACTGAAGTTCTCTTGGCCGTAACATATCCCTGGAGCTTCCCTTCACTGTTGGTATTTCAAAGTTAAAATTTTCCAGGGTGTTGTGGGTTTGGGGGGGGGGGGGGGGGGGTGGTTTAGCAGTTTTCAAATATTCTAGAATAAACTTTCACCAACAGTTTTAAGTATTCTCATATTTCCTATAAATCAGCTTACAAGATCTGCAAAGTATAGCGGCCTAGCGGTTGTGCCCAAACTGCACTAGCGCCGCCCAGAACCTCATCTGTAATCATAGACTCGCACGTCTTAACAGATGGAAGTGAGACAGTCCTTCTCAACACGAAAGTCAAGGTTCTGACAACCCCTGCATCTGGAATGTCCATAGGCAGGAACATTATTGAGAAAATAGGTTTGGAGGGATTGTGACTATGGGTAAAACCAAATGAAAAACTACATATTTCTACATTTGCAAAAGTAACTCCATAGAGGGGCCGGCCCAGGGCCATGGCGGTTGAGTTCACGCGCTCTGCTTCGGCAGCCTGGGGTTCACCGTTTTGGATCCGAGGCACGGCCGTACACACTGCTTATCAAGCCATGCTGTGGCGGCCATTCCACATATAAATCAGAGGAAGATGGGCACAGATGTTAGCTCAGGGTCAATCTTCCTCAAAAAAGTAAATAAATAAAACATAAAATAAAACCATAGATAGTAAATGACATTGTACGTATCTGAAATTAGTCATCTTGGGTACATTTTGACTAATAGTCCATTTGCCTTTCCTTCTTACTAGAAACATTTCAGGATCTTCCTCGTAATTTCAATGAGATACTTAGAATTTGGGGGGTTTTGCAGATATTATATACACCGAGAAGTACTTTTTCTCTGATCATCTGCCAACGTCCAGTGCCTCTCCATTTCACAGTTTGGAGAAGGTGACCTCTTGCTCCTACTGTAGTCCCAAGACGCAGACTCACTTGAACGTTTGCGATGCTTTGGGAAACTTTTATTTGAACTATGTGGGCCAGCTGACCAAGTGTTTCCCAGCTCCCCTCCTAATACCAGGTTATGTAGCCTTGTCTTTGGCCCTAGAAACTTTGCACAAAACACTTATCATCAGCCCCTTGAGGACAAGTGGCAGGTTTAAGTGACCTCCGTACCACTAGACAGGGAGTGTAGATCAAGCACCCACATTACTTGCCCTCATCTTCCTTTATTTCTTCTGGGACTGCAAACCTACTTTGGTAATGCCCTTTGCTTTGCGCCCCCCCACCCCGCCCTTTTTTAAAAATTCTCAGTGTCTCTTTTTGCTAATCATTGCAGCAGTAATGGGTACTTAGAAGTGAACTTGATGAGGAAAAAGTACTTAGAAGCACTCCAGGACACTTGCATTTCAAGGAAGAGAACTTGAGCTTGGGGAGGCATCACAGAACTCCCCTTCGTTTATGACAGCGTGCTTTGCCTTCCACGGAGGGGCAGAAGATGAAGGTACGGTGCTTCCATGTCAAAAATTTTTGGTAAATGACATTTTTCATTCCCTGGGACCTGCTATTGGCTTCTTATTTTTCCTTTTCAATATTAAAAAAACTTTCTGCTTTATTTTCTATTATTCTCATTTTTTTTCTGCACCTCTATCAAATTCTTTTCTTTGACTCCATCTTCTTTTTCCTTCTTGATGTCACATCTCTGCATTTTCCAGTCTCCAAACTAGCTTAACTGTTTTAGCAACTGAAAGTACTAAATATCCTTTTCTTTGGGTCATTTAGAGACACCCTGTGAAGGACACCCCTGGAAAATGTTCCACGGTGCTGCCAACAGAGCAGAGCTGTTGCAGTAGAAGGTTCTCAATGTCATTTTTCTTATTTATTTTTGGTTGTTGAATGTGGGTAAAATACTTTATAATTCAGCAAATCCAGATTAAATGAGTGCAATTAATGCCAGGTAAATTTAAATGTCAACTTCTGAGGTAAGAAGAAAGAAGGAAACAAATAAAAATGAGGACTTTATTCTTAAATGTAGGCCCCTGGGGAGGTGGCTTGCAGAGTGGTTAAGAACACAGACCCAGAACCAGACTGCATGGGCTGGAATCCAGCTTCATCACTTGTACACCGTGCAACTTCGGGCACCTTTCTTTGCCTCGGTTTCCTCATCTGTAAAGTGGAGAATAGTTTTACCTGATGGAGTTGCTAAAAGGATTAACTGAGTTTACAAAAAGCACTTACAACAGTGCCTGGGAATAGTCAGCACTACGTAAATGCCAGTTACTCTTACTCCAAATTATAATAACAAATAGATCAAGGCCCCAGAAACATTTTTAGTTTTCAGAAGTACGAGTTTTTTAATAATGTTTCTGATTTTTAAAAGATCACACATGTGGTTTGGATTACTCCAAGAAAAATGTTTGGCTTAATGACTGATTAATGAGTTTTTAAGAAAGAAACCACTTTGTATGACCCAGGACAGAGCATGAAGTTCACTAACAGGAGATGTCTGGCTGGCATAAAAACCATTACAGAAAACCCTGAGCATGGTGTTAAACTCAACTTGGAAACACATGCCTTACATTACTGGCCTATCAGTTCCGAGTTCTTGGCATCTATCGCCAAAGCAGACAGACTTTTTTTTTCAAGTAGTCGTTCTCTGTGATTGCTTTTGACTTAGATAAATGACCTTCTGAAGAACTATTGGGAAACTTTTTGTAGGCTGTATTTGTGATTGTTATTTAAAGTGATAGCTGTGAAAGACTGTCAAAATATCTTTAGCACTGTGCTTTTCAAAAAGAAAGGATAATTCCTTTGAAAATAATAATGAAAGGATAATAGAATCCCACATATAAGAAAGAATAAGGTCTTCCGGCTCACAGATGGCATTTATCTGCCAAGACAGGGAAGTCCGTTTCAGGAGCTAACTGGTTTTGCTTGCTTCATACTGCTGAGTACACGTCAGCAGCTACAATGGGGGCAAAGTGCACGGAGCGGTGCCCCGGCAGATTACTTTCCCAGCCGGGAAAGACTGTGGCAATTCTGCCTCTACAGTAACAGCCAATTCACAGCCACCTAATAGTCTGGCTTGTCATTGAAGATATGACTAACTTGAATGGCCTAAATGTTTATTATACATTTAATACATGCACTACTTGTAATAATATTTCTGAACCAATATTTTACCTTATAACAACTAATTTACTTTATGATGTTGTCTATACGTGAGTTATGGCAGTTTATAGCCAATATGAAGATTAACGAAACACAAAAATAAAGTGTAAATTTGCATTTTGAACTGAGAGCACATTTAAGAGGATTTCAGCATTAATTACAAGAGTCAGATCTTCAGAATGTGAGAGGCAGCATGATCTGGTGCAGCAGATACAGGTTAGGAGTCAGACTGATGGGCTTTGAAGCCTCCGCTTTATTACCTAGCCATAGGAAGCTATACAGGTTATTTAATCCCTCTCAGCCTACTTCTTCATCTATAAAATGGGGACAATATCCACCCTGAAACCTTTTAAGAATTCAATTAGATACATATGTGAAACAGTGCCTACCTCACAGACAGGCAGAAAAATTTTCTCTTCAACATTCTATTCAACTCCCCACCTCCCTCTCAATGGAAATAAAACTGGGACACTAAGTAAATTCTCAGAATAATGGTCGTCTTCAGTAAAAGAAAATTTCATGTGTAAAATGATTACCAAGAAAGTACTTTATAGGCAGTGGGGGTGGTCTACCTTCAGTTAAATAATAAACTTGGTTATTAATCCTACGGTAACTAAATCTCAAAGCACAAACCTTGGAGGTTTTCCTAAGTATTGTAGTGAAAACACCATTTGTATAGACAGCAAGAAGACATGGAACTCTGAAAAATAACTTTATTCTGTGGAGAAAAATTCTCCATAAAAGATAGTTGTACTTAGGTCCCTAAAAAGTTATGTAGAGGAACCCATTACATATTAAGTGGGCATTTTGTGTCCATTTTCCCAGGACTTGAGCCTGGAGAAGCCTTCAGGATGGAAACCTTATTTAGGAGCCGAGGTTTATGCCAGGTTCATTCTGGAGATGGTCCCAGACCATCTGTGAAAGTCAACTAGAATCTGAAGACGTAAAACCGACCAGGGATGAATGATCTAAGGAGGCAAGGAGATGACGACCGCCATGAGGGCCTCCTGCATGGGAGCAGAAAGCAGCAGGCGGTAGGAACCGAGGGCTTCCCTTACGGGCCCAGCAGCCTTCCCGCTGCCTCCGGGGTTCCTGACGCACTCCTCGGAATCCCCGGTCCAGGAAGAGAGGCAACTTGGAAGAGACCGGGCAAGAATCGCCCTCCCGCCCCGCCCCAGTGGTCCCCTCCGGGGTTGATCTCCTGCGAGCCCCGAGCGTGCAGCATCAAGGGCCACGGAATGCGCATCTCTGCCCCTAAAATGCAGCAGGGCCGACTTAGAGCTGCAGGTGCACCTCCACGGAGCAATCGCTAACAGGCACAACTCCTGGGGCCTGTGCGTCTTCTTAGGATTTGAGGAAATTCTTCAGAAAGCAGCCACCGTAGGGGGATGGAGGCTTTCCGTGGAGGGAACGTTCTCAGCCCTGAGTGCGCGGGGGGAAACCTCGGGGTTCTTTTTTATCAACTCCCACTCCCCAGCCTGATTTGCTTCCGTCAATTCATCCCTAACGGTGATGACGAACGGGGGGGCACAGTTTTAAAAACACAGCATCCGAGTAGCCCTGGGAGTGTGAGAAGGACCCAGACAACCTCAGTCACACGTCAGGATACGACTGCATACGCGAGGCCGCCCAAAGCACAAACGAGCCTCCGCGCAGGCGCAAGCCGTCCCTCGCCCGTCCGCCCTTCCGCCCGTCTGCCCGTCACGCTCTTTGCCCCGCCCCGTCACCAGCCCCGCCGGCCGATCCTCTGCATCTTCCGCCCAGGCCGGCTTGGCCTCAGCCTGCGCTGCGCCCTCCCGGCCTGGGGCGTCGCTGCACCGGCCTCCGCCGCTGGGGTTGGGGGCGGGAGGCGGAGCTTAGGGGCGGGGGGCGGTGTTGCGGCGGTGTAGGGGCGGCAGGCTGAGGCGACGGCGTCGGTGGTCCCTGCGTGATGGCCGCCTCGGTGTTCTGCTGCTTGCGGTGCTGTAGGGACGGCGGGACGGGCCACATCCCTCTGAAGGAGATGCCGGCCGTGCAGCTGGACACGCAGCACATGGGTAAGGGCCCTCCCTTCCCCAGAGCCAACGGCCCACCCCGGGTCGGGCGCGGGGGTCGGGGTCAGCGCGGGGGTCGGAAGCACCACACGCGGCCCTGCCCCGCCGGCGCCGCCCGCGCTCCTCTCCCTGCGACTCTGCCTGACCCGATTCGGTCTCGCGGATCTCCTCCGGACGCCGGCCGACTCCACCCCGGCCCGGGTCTGTGTTCACGGCTCCGCAGCCCTTCCTGCTCCTGTCATCGAGGATGGGTGTGTGGACCTACCCATTTTCCCTGGAATCTCCTCTGAGATGCCGCCTCCTGAGACTCGTCAGAGGTCCCCAGGCGAGGGGAGTGGGGAGCGCTCGGGTGCTCCTCCCACAGTGCCCTACTGCCCATCTCCAATCAAAACCTACGTTGTCAGAGTGCTTTGGGTCTGATCGCGGCTCCTTCTGCCCTGACAGTTTTCTCTTTAGCCCGTCATTTAAAGGTTGAAGCTTCTTTTATTGGAAGTGATTTTCCTCTCACCTCCTAAAGTCAAAACAAGGCAGATTGCAGAAGCCTGAAGTCGCGTCTCAGGTCAGAACATACCCTTTCAGCTAAAACCGCCCACGGCCTGACTCCTCCTTAGTCACCATCGGAGGTGCTGTAATTCCATCCGAGTAACCTCTTCCCAACAGATCAGGCTGTTGCAAAATAAAACAGCACTTTGCCCCTTTGCGTCTATGTTTTTTCCCTCCCAATTTCAAATGGGCATATAATTTCTCTTTTAACATTCTTCCTTTCCCCTCCGTAGCCTCTTTCATCACCTTATTATTTCTGTTCTTAGACTTTTCCCGTATAGTTCCGTGCTTCTGGAGTATGGTTCTAGAAGGAGAGATTTCCCACTGTAAATTATTTCAGTTAGAGTACTGTCTTCTTGTGGGTTATTCTATTCTAAATATACTTCTGCACTTTCGGTTTTTCTCACATCTCTCATTGGCTAAAGGACAATGCATTGACATAAAGGCAGTTCTCAATGTGTATTTATAAATATTGAACCCTCTCCTGCCCAGATTCTTTTTAATTCTGGAAGCACTCTGCCCATTATATTTCTATAGCATGGACTAAACCACAAATGTGATAATTGTATACCATTTTGTAAATGGGTATTTACTTTTAATTCTTAGATATCCCAAGTGTAATATAGAACCTTAATACAGAAATATATAATGTATGTATGTGTATATATATATCTTTTAAAATTGTTTCTTATCCATTATTTATAGACAGTGGGTGTTCAAGTCCTTTAATTTTCTGCAGAAAACGTTTCCATTTCATTTGTTCGTTTACTCAGTTGATATTTATTGAGTGACTGTCAGGTGGTGGGCATTATTGTAGGTGCTGGGAACACTGTAAAGGACAACGTGCATAGTTCCTGGAGCTGATGATGAGCTTTAGCTCCTTCTATCTCTAACATCAAGCTCCTGAATTACTGCAGTCTGCTCTTTACAGTAGTCCTTTTCTCTGGTCTCTCCATGAAGAGCTGGTTAGTTGTACTCATTCCATTATGTTCTCCTTTTTCCAAAGCTGCACAGCAACTTTCAATAGAGTGATGCTGTCTCCAAATTTTCTGCCTGCATGGAAAGTTTTTCTTAACCTGTCTTCCAGTAAACTCAAATTCTTTAATCACAGAAGCAGCCTGATTTTAGAAACTGAGTGATATGAAAGAGAGGAAAGGCTTGTTGAGTTAGGAGTATGTTTCAAGCATGAATTCATCTAAAGATGAAAATAAGAGAAGTACACTGAGCACCTGTGTGTGTATTTGGATATGTGAAAGGTTATATTAGATAACCTAAAGAGTGTGATTGCCTTTTTTTTTTTTAAGGAAATAGACTATACATTTCATATCCAAACAAATATTGTCTCTTTCGAAGTTGTCACTTATTTTGGTGATGCTGCATTATTTAAACCATTTTGGAATTCCTCTTCTGGGACTTTCTGTGGCATCGTTTTTGTAAATATCTTCATTTTTGCCATATCTTCTGCATTTAATTGTGAATTGACTTTTTAGAAATGAATGTCTTCCAAGGTGGCTACTTTGAAAGGGGTGCTACTCATTTGGAAATGTCTGATGTTTCTGAAAACATACTCTTTGGCTGTTTATATGTGTTCTGTCTGTACTCAAATTTCCCTTGACTTTCTAAGCAGTACTGATGATTAATAAAACTACCCAAATCACACAGATACAAATAGAGGATATCTTTATACTTAAAAAAAGAGGAATAGAATAAGCTTAAAATAATTCCCTAATGATTCACGAATCCTCCAGAATGTTCTCTGAATATATTCATCTTTCTATAAAAAACTTCTCCATACCTAGCAAAATGCTTTGGAGATAACAAGTGATATTAAAGTAAGAAAATAATACTCTGCTCACAGTTGGTTCTGTGGTTCCAACTCAGAGTGGACTGTATTGTATTTAGAGTCTTCTGATAATTTCATTAACCTAGCATCTTAGGACGATATCCAAGGTAATAAGTTATCTACTATAGAAGCTTGTTCTTAGAAGATTTTGCTATGTGTGGGGACCACAGAGCGTTGCTGGTTAAGAAAGAAATACCATTTATTTGCATAATTCTTTGCAGTGTGTTTCACCTAGGATGCTTTCAGTTACAAGTAGTAAAAACTACAACTCACAATTGTTTAAACAAGAAAGGAAGCTTATTGGTTCAGGTAACTGAGAACAGCACAAAGGCAGCACTGGCTTCAGGACAGACTCAGTGCTGCCAAGGACTGGGTTTCTTTTCGTCTGTTTCCTCTGCCTTCTGCTGCTTATTGCTCAAGGCTGGCTTCTGTGATAACTTCAGCAGCTCCCTGGGCTTCCTCATTCAGGTCCAGCAAGAATGAGAGAATTCCTTCATTCTCTGCAAAAGTCCTGAGATTATCTTCGTTTATAGTGGCTTAGGTCATATAACCATTCTTTAGTCAATTACTGTGGCCGAGAAATGTGGAATGCAATGATTGACTTAGCCTGGGTCAAAGTTGTACCCCTGAAGCCAGAGACTGAGTCAGCTTCCTTGGAACTGTTTTGATCTCCGGAGGAAGATGTGTTGGGAAAGGGTAAACAGATGCTGCATGTCCACTACAGAGTGCTTGGCAGAGCGTGTTCATTCATTCTGATTTCTACATCAGTTGTTTGCTGAGCCAGATACCCAGCGCTACGCTGTCTTTGCCATCAAGGAAGAGCTAGGCCCTGGATGCTCTCCAGTTGAAACTGCTGGACGGATATGGGGTAGCCAGATGTAAATTATTTAAAAAGGTACTTCCCCAGAATTTGGGGGTTAACGTTTGTTATTAGAGGAAAAAAAAAAAGGATACTAAGGAATTTTTAATAGTTGTATAACAGGATCTTAGTTTTACCTTACTTAAGAGAGAGTGTCTCTCAAATCAACCAGTTTCAAATTGTGATAGAATCTGAAAATTTTACATTTCTTTTATATATTTGTCCCAAATAATTTTCTGTTTAAATATGAATTCAATAGTGAGTTAATGGGAGAACTGCCTCCCTGTTAACACCTTTTGTTACTGTGTTCTGGCTTTATTTACCCTCCTCTAGAGGAGGCCCGTACAGTTCTAATAGCTAGATCTGCTTGGCTTGTACACTTACTACCAGCGAAGTGCGGATGTTGGCCATGGATCTCGGAAGTCACATGCCTCAGCGTTATGGGCTATAGCTTCATGTTAGAATTATGTTAAGTCTCTTCATATTCTCTGATATACATGCTTCCCTAAATCAAGATTTGGAAAAGAATTGGTATTGGGGTCACATTGTCAAGAGGCTGTCTTTCTCACTCTCATCTAGCAAATGTTATTTGAGCTAAACTAAAATTTTCCATGTGAATCAAATGCATTTAATGATGTTAAAACACTGTTTAAGTATTTGCAATATTATTGATAGTAGCTATCTTAGAAACATTTTAAGATCCTAAAATTAGCACTTTTCATTTTAAGAACATAGATGCAGTTTCCTTTCCATAAGCCATGTAGTCTTCAGTTCTTACTTGACTAAGGCACTAGCATGGTACCTTGTACCTAGTAGATATTCAGCCAGTTTTTAGTAGATTGTTTTAATTCATTTGGATTGAATTGAAAATTATAGCAATTTACCAAAGTTTCTTTTAAGTGTTTATGTTTTTATTTACATTAAGAGATTTATGAAATCATCAAATTGATTTATTGGCTAAAAATTGAGGAAAGTTAGTCTATTTCTACCTTAAAAGTGTTTTAAATATTCAGTATAATTCAGAATTATTACAGTTTATATGAAGCTGCCTAATTAACCAAGATTTCTAGCCACAAATGAATGTTCAATATAAATGTTCTCTTAGCGGAAAAAATAGTGAATTAAATATTTAAAATAATTTATCACTATTTCTGTATTTCACAGGACACGTAGTATCCCTGTTTTTATGGACCAAGAGTTAAAAGTGAAACAGAAATTAACCTTGCTTGTTGGATAAGAAAATATAAAACTTTACACAGTGTTTGCGTTTTTTGTTTAGGAACAGATGTCGTCATTGTGAAAAATGGGAGAAGAATATGTGGAACAGGAGGTTGTTTAGCCAGTGCACCTCTACATCAAAACAAAAGCTACTTTGAATTTAAAATCCAGTCCACAGGTTGGTGTAATGGTACTTTCGTATTAGAAGTCCTAGGTGTTCTAAACATTAGGAGTAATTTTCACCATATGAAAAAGATTAATGAGGTAATAAAAAAAGCACCAAACTGTTACTTAGAAAACCTTTCCTTCTACCTCTCATTCTGTGATCTTGGTTTAATTAGTCAATTTAGTTAAATTAGGCTCAGTTTTCATCTCATCTGTAAAATTGGATCCCAGGAGCTGCCCTTTCTGCTTCACATGAGCCACATGTATGAAAGTGTTTTAAAGACAGGACTTACTGGATCAACGTAAGGCACTAGCATTATTATTAATATAATTATTAATGGCAGCTGGATGCACCATTTCATTTAATCAAGCATATAAGGTGTAGATTCTTGCTATTTTATCTTAGGATAAAATCATTTTTATGACCCTTAGTTTTTCTCTTAGCTCCTGTTGAGATACCCTGATTCAGTGTCTTCTCAAGCAGTCAGCAGGTTTAGAATTCAGATGGGAAGTCCTGCCCATTGGGCCTGGGTTTCGTGAGTTCGGATCCCAGGCACAGACCTACACACCGCTTATCAAGCCATGTTGTGGTTGTGTCCCACATACAAAATAGAAGAAGGTTGGCACAGATATTAACTCAGGGCCATTCTTCCTCAACTGAAAAGAGAAAGATTGGCAACAGATGTTAGCTCAGGGCCAATCTTCCTCACCAAAAAAACAAATAAGTAAAAATTTTTTTTTAAATACTAAAAAAAAACTTCTTATAGAATTCTAAAGTCTATACTTCTCTTTAAAAATTTATGGAGTTTCTTGGGGCTGGCCCCGTGGCCGAGTGGTTAAGTTCGCGTGCTCCGCTGCGGGCGGCCCAGTGTTTCGTTGGTTCGAATCCTGGGCGCGGACATGGCACTGCTCGTCAAGCCACGCTGAGGCAGCATCCCACATGCCACAGCTGGAAGGACCCACAACGAAGAATATACAACTATGTACCGGGGGACTTTGGGGAGAAAAAGGAAAAAATAAAATCTTTAAAAAAAAAAAAAATTTATGGAGTTTCTTGAATTGTATAGCCAGTTCTGTGTGAGTATTGCGATAATAATCAACTTGTGGCAGTATTGGATGTAGGGAAATTTTTTTCTATGGCTTTATTATAAAGAAACTTCTAGTGGAATATGGCATGAGTAATTTAGTTACAGAATAGGAAAACTAGAGTGGGGTAAATTAATCCTATTGTTATTCGACCAGCTTGAATGATATAAAATTTCTCTTTGGGGCTTGTTTTCTAAATTAATTTTAAATACTGATTTTCTTAAGTGTATGAAATAGATATGAACATATCCTCCATCTCATTCTTTTATAAATTATCTGCAAAATGTCTCTGGTTACTGTAATCTTCTCAAGTATTACACACTTGTTTCTCAAGAGAAGGAGATATTTTCTTGAGCCTTAAATCTAATACAAATTGTTATGTAGATTTCCGTGAAGGATGGTATCCTCGTGATATCCCTGGAATAAACGTGTGGTTGTAGCATTGTGTTTGTAGCATTGATGTCTCAATGAAAGCTTGAGGCAGTTGTGCCAAAGTGTATCACAGAGTGCACAGTTCTGTAGGAGGAAGGAGACTCTGTAACCCCGTCTAGAGCTGTTGTCCCATGAAATTAGTATCATCACTTCATGTCGCTCTTAAAATTGTCCCACTTTGGAGGATAAATTATATAGTCAAATTATTGAGAAGTGAAGACAGTGAAGTCCAGACGGGCAGCGTTCTGATGGTGTCACTCAGTCCAGAAAAATTGACTGATCGACAACACTGTCCTCAAACCTTCCGTTGATAGAACTTCTCCTAACTGATTTTGGTAAAAACTGAAAAGGAAATAGTTTGAGACAAAATCCAGAGCTCCAGGTATTCTGTTTGGTTGGTTAAAAAGAAGAGCTACTTGCTTGAAAAGTCATCTTAGACCCAAAGGCTTTAAACTCACTGACTTAAGTTGTTGGGTAAGAAAATGATTTTATACCTTATCGTTAATTTCCTCCTCTCCATGATCATATATTATATATTATTTGTCACATATTATAGATGCAAAAACTAAAGATAGTAATTTCGCACTTCTCAGAGGTAGTGCTTGAAATAGAACCCCAGACCATTTAAGTTCATTATGTAGTTCTTTAAAAGTGTTTTTTAGAGAATAATAATAGTGATGATAGCTAGCATTTTCAAAAAAATACTCTGTGCTTTACTTACGCTTTTTTTTTTTTTGAGGAAGATTAGCCCTGAGCTAACATCTGCTGCCAATCCTCCTCTTTTTGCTGAGGAAGACTGGCCCTGAGCTAACATCCGTGCCCATCTTCCTCTACTTTCTATGTGGGATGCCTGCCACAGCATGGCTTGCCAAGTGGTGCCCTGTCTGCACCCGGGATCTGAACTGGCGAACCCTGGGCCGCTGAAGCAGAACGTGCGAACTTAACTGCTGCGCCACTGGCCAGGCCCTACTTACCCATTTTTTGTTAATTGCTTTCACCGTTCCAACTGCTTACTTGGATTGTCTTGCTATATCTTATGATAACCTTGTGAGCTGAGTGCTGTTAGAATCCACGGTTCAGGGGTGAAGAAGCAGAGAGAGGTTAAGCAACTTGCCCAAGATGACGTAGCTAAATCAGGATGCAAACCTAGGCAGTGCAACTCCAGGGCCCGCTCTCGTCTCCTAAGCTGTACTATGTTTGCAGAGAGTGTAGTATGGTTTGCAATCTACCTTAAGAAGAATTTTTAACAAAAAATAGTTTAGTGATAATACGCCACTTCTTTTAAAAACAAGGTACACTCTTTTAAAACAACTCCTTTCGTATTTGTGTTCTTCAGATTTTGGAGGCATTTAAACTATTATATTTTTAGGAATATGGGGTGTTGGCGTTGCAACTCAGAAAGTTAACTTGAATCAGATTCCTCTGGGCCGAGATGTGCACAGTCTGGTGATGAGAAATGATGGGGCCCTGTACCACAACAACGAGGAGAAAAACAGGCTGCCGGCAAACAGCCTTCCTCAGGAGGGAGACGTAGTGGTGAGTTTTCTTGTGGAATTGCTTTCCACCGTAAATTATTAAACTTGAACTGTTTTTAGTATATATAGTTTTGCCTGGGAGTTTGTGGTTTGAATTCCAGGATACCAGGATTGGGTCTAATGAGATGGCACCTTTTCCAAAGAGAGCACCTGCTATGGATGCTGCTGCCTTGCTTAGCTGCCCTCTGCTCTCTAGAGCTGCATCTGGCCAGGAGAGTCAGTGTGAGCCTTATTGCCATTCAGCAGGATTAACGACAGGTTGGCTACCGATCAACACTTCCTGCTTCTCTCATATCAGAGAAATCTTGGCCTACAATTTTAAAAGTTTGCTGACCCTTATATTAGAAAATATTAGATATTTTTGCAACTGGAAATCTCTTAGAGAAAATTTTGACATTTATTAATTTGTTATAATCTGTTAAAGAATTACAGCATTTTATCAGGAGTATTGGTCGTCATTAAACTTAATCTTATTAAACTTCCTTTACTTCCAGAACTCTTCAAAGAATGGGACTCAAAGTCCTAACCCTTGATTGTAGAAAAGTTTTTTGGAAAGCAGGGGATAGGAAGAGTTGCATGTTCTTAAGACTTCTCTATTTTTATTCCCAGCTAGATATGTTTGTCTTTGCCACAGCAACCCTGTTGGAAGTGTAATCCAGAAATCCCTGTCTGTCTTTTCTACCTGGTTCTCTCATGCAGTGTTATCCAAGAACCATGGACATGGAGTTCGGGCTGTTAGCTACTGATTGAGAACAGAGTCCTTGGGTCTCCTTTAGCAAAGGTGCCCTTGGGTCCCTGGCTCTGGAACCAAGTTGAAAGGAATCTGTAAATAATGAGGGGAAGTTTCTAATAATAAGATGACACAGGGAAGGTAAATCCAGGTTATTAAAGAAATATACAGTATTTTGGAGAAAATGAAGAAAAATGTGGGAATGAAGATTTTTAATTATGGTCTGATCTTTTCTGCCATTTAAAAAATCTGAGGAACATTTAGTTTTTAAATAGGTAAATTGTTGAAAGCGTTTTTTTCCTAAATTGACTGAAGAATAAAGGAGATGAAAGGCATACACCATTTTTAAAATCTGCTTTTCCCCATTCTTCTTTTTGAATAGTTGGTTCTGTATTTGTAGATCATGGCCAGATGTCCCTAATATGGAACACCCGTACTCAAATGGTTATTTCTTGAAAGAGAATCTTGAAGTCAAGCTGAGGCTGTCAACCTGTTTACACTAAGTTTTGAAATTCAAACATAAGAAAGGATAATCAGTAACAAACGTTTTTCTTGTTGATATACGGAACTTCTACCGTGTTTTATTCTTGCCTTCCTGCCTCATTCATTGAGATGACTGATACCACAAATTGACAGATTTAAGAATGTCATTTTTAGTCTGTCAGCATTATTAAATTAGACTTTGAGTTTTCATGCCCATTCTGATGAAAGGAAGACTAAATACATGAAATATATGCAGAATCAAGCAAAGTAAAACATTACCCTACGTATTAACTTTATCTTTCTTGTTCAAACACTTGAGAATAAATTTCCCCAAATTGCTGACAGTGGCACAGGAAAAGGAGAATGGATTATAAGACAGGAAAAACATTCTCATGTGTGGAACTTCAGTCATGTACCATTCTCTGAGGAGAAATCAAGAAAAATAAGCTTTTAACATCCAACCTAATGATTATGTTCATAAAATAAACATACAGAACCAGCAGAGCCTACTGCAGCACCAGGAAGGCATGCATGGAACAACTGCTTATTCTTAGTTTTTCCTTTTATATATAATTTTGAAAAGTGCAAATTGCATTCTAAAATTGCATTTTTCAATTTAATTTTAGAGAAGATTAATAAACATTCTGTGTCGTAATAATCATAATAATAGCAAACACTTCTCTAGCGTTTGTTATGGGCCAGGCACTGTTTTAAGTGCCTGTCAGGGGTTAAATTGTTTAATGCTCATAATGACCCTAGGAAATAAGTAGAATTGTTATCACCATTTTACAGATTAGGAGAACTTAAGGAACTTCTCGGATGGGCGGATCCTGGGAGTATAATACAGGCAGTCTAATATCAGAGTCTGGTCACTAAACCTGTAAACAATTACTGATAAATGCATAGCACACATCAGACTTTTTAGTATTATTATGACAGGATCAAACCTAGTTTCTGGATCACGTAAAAGTACAGATTAAGTTAGAAAATACCTGAACTAAACTGCTGATGAGGGTGCGGGTTCTCACATGCTTCCTCGCTTCTTTCTTTGGTGTTGGGATTGTGCTGTTATGCTGGAGCTTTGGGTTTAAAACTTGCTTGCGATAGGTTATGCTGCCACTGGGGGTGGAGGGCGCCTGGGTTACCACATGCTCACCCGAGGGGCTGGGTTTCCTGGAGTCCTAGGAAGAGAGTGACACACTTTGTTTTTTATGTCATTATGTTTTTGTTTTTTAAATGAAAACAGACCTCTTCATTAAAAAAGCTAATCTTAGCTATCAGTTAGCTTTATTATTATGTTTAAATGCTTAAACTGAAATGAAACAAAGGCAATCTGTTTATCCTTTTCAATATTGCTTAACTATTAGTAAATCGTTGTTTAATCTAACCCTGGCTTTGCTAAGATTTGAGGAGAATCTTTTATAGCACTTAACACGAAACAGCAGCCTTTGCTGTCTTACCGGGAAGTGAGAGAGTAAAGACTAGATCATCTGTGAGATCTTTTTCTACCTTTAAAAAGCTTTAAAGGTGATCTAACCTGTCCATAGTCAGGAATCCTCAAAGTGGTTGCTGCTTTGTCTGTGACAGTTTCTCTATTGAAAGCTCTCTGCTGTCTGTTCTTAATTCTTCAAAGGAAAGCTCTCTTTCTGTCATCAGTTAGTAACTATTATATACCGTTTTAAAGAGAGTTTTAAAGTTGTAAATTGCATGGCAGTTATGAACGAGTATTCCATACGGCATGGGTGCAAATCCCAGCTCTGCTGCTCCCTAGCTGTGCAACCTTAGGGACACTAGCTAGTCTCTCTGTGCTTTAGCTACCTCATCTGTGAGAGGAGATGATGATTATACCTACCTCGTTATGAGGATTAAATGAGTACACGTGTGCCTAGAATAGTGCTTGGCACGTAGTACAGGCTAAGTGTTTTCCAGCATTTTAATAACAATTATTGTAATTTTTGTACCATTAATAATATACAAAGTAATATATTTTTATCCTATTGTCTTTTAAAAAATCTTTTAAACTATTGTTTTTCGGCTTTTCAACTTGACACTGACTACCAATTATATTCAGTTGTAAACAGCAGCTTTACCTTGGTGATAAACTTGACATATTTGAAGCCAAGGTAAGGAGAGACAGAAATGTATGATTTCTTTGGGGAAATAAGTTGTATAAAGACCCTTCTTCACAACTTGAAAACAGTGACAATAAGCCATAATGGTGAAAATTTCATTGTTTTTCCCGCTTGATATCAAATTCTGCATATAGACAGCAGAGTTTTCTGTATGAGTCTAAAAGGTCTCTGTCCACAGTGTGTAGTACTTTGTTTTGTCGTTAGTGTCATGGAGTTGATTCTGACTCCTGGCGACCCTGTGTACAGCAGAGCGGAGCCCTGCCCGGTCTTTTTGCTCCATCCCCTCATCTTCCGGCGCTGTATCAGACGTGTTCCACTGCTATTCACAGGGTTTTCATGTCCAATTTTTTCAGAAGTGGGTGGCCAGGTCCTTCTTCCTAGTCTGGAAGATCCACTGAAACCTGAAACCTGTCCACCATGGGTGACCCTGCTGGTATTTGAAATACTGGTATCATAGCTTATGACATCACAGCTACACGCAGCCACCACAGTATGACAGCCAACAGACTGGTGGTGTGGTCCCCTGACTGGCAAATGAACCCAGTCCACAGCAGTGACAGCGCCGAATCTTAACTGCTGGACCACTAGAGCTGGCATTATCGTACTTACATCATCTTAATAGTCAAAATATGAAATACAGATTTTCTGAGTATAATACTAGAATTCAGACTAATGTTGTTTGTTTTACTTGTAATGTAGACTCTTGGGATTTTACCTCTTTCCCCACTAATTTTTTTAGCTCAGTTCAAGTAGAATTCTATTAAATTGTAAACCCTTGATGAAAGCTATTGTGACCCTTTGTGTAAGTTTTTGTTTCCATGCTTCCCAATCAGTGCTTTCTGACTGGGCAGGCTTTTATGGAACGTTTATATTTTCACCCTTTTTTAATATTTTCTTTCCTCCTTAGGGTATTACATATGACCATGTAGAATTAAATGTGTATTTGAATGGAAAAAACATGCATTGTCCCGCATCAGGCGTACGAGGGACGGTGTATCCAGTTGTTTATGGTAAGCTCAAATACTTCCAAATGTTGTTAGACAGATGCTGACTTTTGCTTGGCATTTTTATTAACTTTATAATTATCATTCGGAAGTCTGGACAAGTTAATAGGGACCTTTTTCTATGAAATGTACTCAGTAGGATATCAGTCCTGCTGTGCAGGACCAAGGAAGGTTTTTATTCCCCGTGTATTGAAAAAGAACTTGCTAAATAAAATGATTATACTTAAATATACAATAACTTTATTCCCTTTTTTATCATATATTCCTATATTTTAGAAAGTTCCTAAAAGCTTTACTAAATTTACAGAGATCTTTCTGCCAGTTCTAAGGGAGAATCAGATGACCAGGAAATGTAATTGGAAAGAATATTTCAGAATATTTTGGAACTAGGGATGGGAATTTTATGTAGATTGCACATTAGTTACCTTTATAAAATTACCTAAATGTTAAAACTCTTCCGAGAGAAATTACGACGTAGAATAGTTTCATATTGGTTGTTTTGCGTTTGATAGCCATGTATGTATAAGTGATATAGTTTCTGCAGAAGTGTGTCCCTCCAAGAATTGCGTTACTTAAGAGATGACTCTATACCACTTAATTACTTTAATTTATATTATAGAAATTTCAAACATGTATAGAAGTAAAGGGAAGAGTGTAATGAACTCTCATGCACCCATCGCCCGGCTTCGAACAATTATCAGCTTGTAGCCAATCAGGTTTCGTCTACCCTGTGACACTTCTCTCCTTCACCTCACCTCCTTGGATTGTTTTGAGGCAAATGTCAAATGTTCTATGATTTTATTCATAAATACTTTATGTGTAACTCTAAAAAATAAGGTGCCTCTCCTTATAAAAAATAACAAACATAAGCACAGTGCCTTTATCACTCTGTTCTGTTTTATTTTTTATGTTATCAACTTTAAATCATTCTTCATAACAACACTTTTCCTCAGTGTTACAGCTTCTTCTCTCATAGATTGTGTTAAGAACTGACAGACTGAATGACTGGATTGATCCAGGATTAAGGATGAGATGGAGGACAAAGGGTGACGGCATTTGTCTTATTTTTATCTTTGACAGTATCAGACTACTAAAATATTTGGTTTAATGGGACTGATTTATCAATTTCAATATATGAAATATACTTTACTATATATAATTTACTATCTATAGCTTTACTACATTAAGAAATAATGCTGGATCAAAGAAACAATTTAGAATAAAATTTTATTTGCTATACTCATTTGCGTAACTTAGTCATTCTACTGACATTTATTTCATTTCTCAGGCTAAACTATTTTGAATATTAAGCTAAATTTCCATTTATTTAAGTAAATAAAGGAACTGCTTTTAGGCTTACCTATTATGGCAAGGAAACTAACCTGAGTTTAAAAATACATTTTTACATATAAAAACAGAAAATTAAAATCACTGAAAAGTAATTTTTATGAGAAAAGAAGACTAATTAAAACCATAACAAAAAAGTAGAGCATAGGCTTTGGTTGTCACTATCATGTTGTTAAATATTTATATTTGTCCTTGTATACTTTTCTGACATCCCAAAGTCGAAGCTCTCAACAGTTTTGGCAACTTTTACATCTCTGCTCAGTCCGGACCTTTACCACGCCTCTTGAATTCCCTACTTATTCTCTGCAGATGCTTCTCTTCTACTTTATAAAGAAGTAGGCTGTCCTACTGAACTCCAGCTTCCCTCCCTTCTCCTCCTGAAGCTTTTCTGGATCTACTCTAATCTTGCCTTCTTTCCATCCCATCTCAGAGGAAGTGGTACCCTTCATGTCAGAAAACTCAGTGTACGGTCTAGATTTCAAACTCCCCAACCCTGGGACTTCACCTTGTCAGTTATTCCATCTATCTCTCATGTCATCAGCCTCTCTCTTCAGTGCCTATAAACATTCTGACTCATTCTCATCCCCAAAACCTTCCCTTAAACTCTTACCCCTCAATAGCCCTGTGCTGACCCTTCTCTGTGTGGACACGTTTCTTACACATTAGTGTACACTACCGTCCTTGCTGTATTGTTCATTTGTTCCTCAGCCCACTCTGGCTGTCTTACCACCACTTCACTGAAACCGCCCTGGTTCAGATCACTAGTGACTTCATGAAGGTCAAATGAAGTACTTAAGGTTTTTTCAGCATTTATTATGAAATATATTTGGTAATGTGCATTAAACATATATGTGCATTTTAACAAATAGCTGTGAAGTGAACACCCATGTCATGACCACAGTCGAGATAATGAAAATATCCATCACTCCTAAAAGTTTCCTCCTGTTCCTTAGAACCCTTCCTGCTCACCACACTCCCCACCCCAGCGCCAGCCAGGCACTGCCGACCTGCCTTCTGTCACTACAGATTATCTTGCGTTTTTAGAGTATTTTATAAACAGAATCATACAGTTTGTACTCTTTTTTTTAAATTTAGCTTCTTTCGCTCAGCATATCGTTTTCAGATTCATTTATGGTGTAGCATGTATCAATAATTCATTTGTTTTTATTGCCAAGTAGTATAGTTCATTGTGTGAATATATCATAATTTGTTTTTCCCTTTACCTGTAAGTGGGTATTTAGGTTGTTTCCAGTTTTTGGCTCTTGCCAGTAAAACTGCTGTGAACATTCCTGCACAGGTCTTTGTATGGACGTATGCATTCCTTTCTCTTGAGTAGCTGCTGGTTAAGACATGTAGAAGCTGAGTCAGGCCTGCAGTCTGGTTCACAGCATTGCATCAGTGTGGGCTCTCTGGTTTTGGGATTGCACTGTAGTTACCACTGCCGGGAGCTGCATGAAGGTACACGACTCAGGGCAGCTTCCTATGGATCTATAATTTTTCAAAATAAAACATTTTTTAAAAAGTAATACAGCTTACTTGTATAAAATTGAGGAAATATATGTTGGCAAATAATGAAAAAATTAAAATCACCCATAGTACATCATCTAGAGATAATTATTAATATTCTGCTGTATATATACTTTCAGTGTTTTTGACTGATAGATTTTTTTTTCATTTTGTCTATTTTTACCCAGTAGGACCATGTTTTGTAACCTGGACGGCAGATATGTTTGTTCTTCTTGCCTATTGATACTGTGGTATTATGGAAAGAGTTTATTTTATAATTATGTATTCTTTCAGGTTAAGGTGTTTGCTTCTAATTTATTTTCTTTCTTTTTCTATCTCTAGTTGATGACAGTGCAATTTTGGATTGCCAGTTCAGTGAATTTTATCATACTCCTCCACCTGGTTTTGAAAAAATATTATTTGAACAGCAAATCTTCTGAATGTATTTGTCTTTGAAACTTGTATTTCTGCACTGTTAAAAATGTTTACCATTTAATAAAGCTTTACCTAACCTATAGATAAAAATATATTCTTAAAAATATGCTTGTTAATGTTTAAGGAACCATTGTATTCAATATACAGCCCAGAAATTGTGATTTAAAGAACTTATGTTTTGTGATATGAAATCAGCCTTTTGGGCAGTTTATTTAATTCTTATTTAAATAATATAACTATGGGTTTGATTAACAATATTAAGTGGAAATATGTATATTGGTATTTAAAAGGGAATCTTTCTTAACATAAAATATTTTTTTGGATAGAGCTGTAGAGTTGGGTGGGCTTTTTGTCATTCTTAAGTTTAAAGCTCATTAACTATTTTAAGTCTATAGTTCAATAATTTTGTGTCTCAGTGTCCTTTTTTATATAAAGTAAAACAAAGTGACAGAAATTTATATTACTGTCAGCTCCATTTTTGGCGACTTATTTACTGTAAAATGTACCACTTAAAATTTAAATTGTGTATTTTGTTAGTGTGTCGTTGCTTTCGATTTGTTGTGTGAAAGGAGATAAGTGTTTGAGTAAGGGTAGAGCATTTTGTTGAAGGCCCTCGTGCTGTTCTCCGATCCTAGAGCAGGCCGTGGCTGCCTGGTGATGTAGCCGACGCTGGCAGACCTGCAGAGTAGTGCGATGCTCTAAACTTCAACGTAAATGAGATTATTCTTTTAAGGACTTTTATTTAAATGTGTGTTTTTCTGTAAAGAATAATAAAATAGTGGTAATTAAGGAGTATTCGGTACTGTATTAAACACCTGTTTTTCCTGTTTTGTTAATAATGCAGTAAATTCACTTCACCCCTGATTATTTTGGAAGATCAGTGATCCTCTCCATGACCCTGAGCCTTTGCCGAGTTTTCAGTAAGAATCACTGTCCTTGAGTTAACACCCTTCTAACCTGAACTAATCACTGTGCACATCTTTGGTACAGTTCCCTTTTAAATGAGCCTGCCACGGATGCACACATGTCACTCAACAAGGAGCAGTAGGCTGTACTAAAACCATGGCGTTAGAATGGAACGAGAACTGAACTGTAGTTTTGCTGCCTAATCCCATTATCTCCTCAGGCAAGTTCCTCAGTCTCTCTGAGCCCAGGTTCCCTGTCTATAAAAGGGATAATCACACTTGCTCGGTAAGATTCTGTAACTAGTTAAATAAGGTAATATGTGTAAAACACCTTAATCATCATAGGCACTTAATAAATGTGCATTCCTTATTGACTAAAGCAGTGGTTTTCAGCATCAGCATCACCTGGGACCTTGTTAGAAATGGTCGTTCTCAGGTCCCACCCCAGACCCACTGAATCAGAAGGTGCTGGGGATGGTGCCCAGGAACGTGTGTTTGAACAGGCCCTTCAGGTGACTCTGATAACAGGCTCAAGTTGGAGGACCACTGCTCAGGAGAGAATTCTTTGAGAATGATTGCCTACTATGAATTTCCTAAGGATTTAAGACAGACTGTTTTTGACCCATGGACAAGAGAATCCTGCACAATTTTTATTTATTGTTTATTTGGTAGACAAAAATGTGACAATGTGCTTTGAAAACATAGATATACTTGTGTAACATTTATTTACGTAAAACTCAAACGTTTCTTCTGAAGATAGATAGAATTGAACTAACTATATTATTTATGCATTTTTGTCTGACTTTCTGTCCTAGTAATTTTAATTCATAAAGAACATACTTACTTGGGAAAGCAAATTAAAATTATTGTTTGCTGTCTTTACAATGTTATCTACCTCAGTTATTTTTTTAAAAGCCAACCTTTTTTATCATCATATTCTTTTCTCAAGACTAGCATTTCCGTCTCTAATCACACAGAATAAGCACGGTACTAAAAACGATACATGAGTTATGTCCATGACCATGGTTTGATGAAGTCCAGCTGTGTTTTTAATCTGTAGGTATCTCATTTCTCTTAGGAAAATTACCCCACCAAAACCTATAACCTCAGTCTAATCTTGAGAAAAACCTCAGACAAATTCCAGTAGAGGGGCATCCTACAAAATGCTTCAGTGGTACTCCTCCAGACTCTTGAGGTCATCAAAAAGGAAATTCAGAGAAACTGTCACACCCAAGAGGAGCCCAAGGGGACACGAGAAGTAAATGTAATGCAGGATCCAGGAACAGAAGAAAGGCATTAGATATAAACTAAGGAAATCTGGAAAACTATGAACTTCAGTTAATAATAATGTATCAATATTTGTTTATTAATTGTAACAAATGAACTATACTGACATGAGATGTTAATAACAGGAGAAACTGGGAGAGGGGATATATGGACATTCTCTGTACTAAACTTTTCTGTAAACTGTTCTAAAAAATAAAGTCTATTAAAAAATTGCATTGAGCTAGGAGAAATTTAAAACTGAAGGCTTTCATGAAGCTAATAGAATATCAGTACAGTAGACACTCATAGCCGAAATATTTAATGATAGCTAACTGTAGACGTAGGTGAGACATCAAACATTCTTGTAGGTTAACACAGAGACCTGCATTTGTTCCTGACTGAAGAAACAGTGTCCACGGTTTTGATTCTGTATATTACAAAAATCCATTTGTTCATACTAGTGTAGTTTTTCATACTTAGACTGAAAATTAATTGATGATATGCAATATCAAGGGATTTGCGATGTTAGCTGTGAGAAACAATGAAAATCTTAGAATTAGTTTATATATTAAAAACCAGAAAAAGAGAATTTGACTTTTAACTAGCTGCCTTTGGCTCATCAGTTAAGATTATTTGAATGTATTTTCAACTTGGATTACAAACTATTATAAATTAACTTAAGAATAGTATAAAATACAGTTTGAATTAAGGCTTTTCTAAATCATTAACGAAAACAGACACATGGGTGGTATTGTTCCTCACGCAGGTTTTTTATTGTATATTTGCTTCTTATGTAAGTCTAGATGTGGACCAGCAAAAGCACAGCTGGGAATGTGAGTGAAACCTTGGACAAATCTTGATAAAATAAGTCAATAACTTCTTTTAGATATTGCAAAAATGTTAGATAGGATTGTGAGAAGAAAATCTATAGTCAAAACTGTAGAATTTCCCTGTACCCCGATATAATCAAGCATAGTACTCATAAGTGAAATATAATCAACTACCACTTATATTAATTTGCATTATTTATGCAACCTGTCAGGGAAATACTGATGGGCGCTAACTGTGCTGTTCCTATGAATGAGTGGAAACACAGTAGTAGAATCAATTAACTATTGTTCTTTCATTTACTGAGTAAGATACGAGACTCCCTTTCAACTTGCTCTTTTAAGATAACTGGGACCAAATTAGTGAAATAGTGGGTGTAAACACAGAAAAATGTTAGATATAATTAGGAATATAAATGAATCACATCATTTATCCAAGAGTTCTACAGAAACTTAAAGGAAAAATTATGCCAGGATTGGCTGAAATGTGTAGTTTGTATTTGCATAGGAATCATTACAATGTACTCAATCAACAATTGAATCACCTGTGTTTTGTGTTTCATAAATACTTAAGATAGTCCCTGCCCTCAAGGAACTTTGCTAATTGTAATTTATTCATCAGTATGGCTCTAGATCCAAGATATATTGATAAATGCAAAAAGCAAATTGTTAAATATTTGTATGCATAATATGACCCAGTAGAAACAACACAACAGGGGCCAGCCGGGTGGCGTAGTGGTTAAGTTCACACGCTCCACTTCAGCAGCCCAGGGTTCACAGGTTCGGATCCCAGGAGCAGACCTACACACCGCTCATCAAGCCATGCTGTGGTGGCATGCCACATACAAGATAGAGGATGATTGACACAGATGTTAGCTCAGCGACAATCTTCCTCAAGCAAAAAGAGGAAGATTGGCAACAGATGTTACCTCAGCGCCGATCTTCCTCACCAAAAAAACCCCGAAACAAAACAAAAAAACCCACCATAACAACAAAAACTATAGAGCCTTATGTATAGGAAAAAGTATGAAGTAATATACACCAAAATATTATATCTTAGCAATAAAATTACAGAGGACAATCTCTTTTATATTTATCTGATAAATTTTTTACAATATTCTTTGGGGAATAGAAAAATAATTTTAAAAATAAGAGAAAAGACTGGCTCTGGAGGAAGCCCTGTATACTAAAGAATGGTGAATTTTATATCCACACCTAAAAATCTAAAAAGCTGCAGCAGAATTTAGTTAATTACAGGATACATTGTATTTCATGGCAGTTTATTTAAAAGGATTCAGAAACTTTAGTTGACGCCATGCCAGGCACAAGGATAAACTTGGTCCCCAGACCCAGGGAAGCAGTGGTAGTGAGGCCACGTGTGGAGTAGAACAGTTCTAGCAGACGCTGCACTTTAAAAAAGACACTGATAAGCCAGTGAAGGCTACCAGGCTGCTGGGGGTCAGCATAATTAATCCTTGAATGAATGAATGAATAATCCTTGAGGACACTGGGAATGTTAGAAGAAAATGTTCAATCCACTTGGCTGTTAAAGCCAAAATGACTTGTGAAATGCTCACTGTTATAAGAAGACTAGAAATAAAGTCAAAAAAAATCTATAGGTGTGTGATCCTCACAAATGTATTTCAGGAAATAATCATAGACGTGTATCAGATCTTATAGTTCATCACTTGAAAAAAATGGGTAGATACATTCTCTGTTGCCCTGGAGGCAGAGTTATTGGAAGGCACAGGGAAGCAGATTTCAGTTTAAGATGGGAAAGAACTTTCCTATTAGTTCACTGCTAAAATTGCTGCCTTGCGAAGAAATGAACTTCTGGTCCCTGGAATTGTTCTAACAGCTGTTTTAAAATGTAGGTTTTATTATTATTCAGGTATGGTGAGCCGACAGATCAAGAGATGATTGCCGTTGAAAAAGATAATTTCTTACAGTTCCCAAGAGAAGAGGGTACACCACGCCACACAGGGACACACAGGTAAGCACCAGAGTTGCTCAGGAGGCCAAAGGAGCAGAGGAAGGCATGGACACAAGCCTTTATTGTGGTTTCCGTGGGCAAGGCAGGGTAAGCGTACTTAGGATGGGTTAATTTGAATAAGTTCAGCAGGCTCTAGGCAGAGCGGCTGTCCTGAGTTGTCTGGTACGTGGCCCCAGGGTAATTAGCATGGGGAATCTTGACCTGGAGTGTAAGAGCCAGAGAGAGGTGAGGGCTCTGGATTGCGTCATTTGCAAATGAAATGCAGGCTCCTGGGGTGAGTTGATTGCTGTCTCTAGGAACTAGCTAACCCTGGATAGGGCACTCCCTCCCCTGTCAGTAAGACCCCAGATTCCAAAGCATCAAGAATACAGAAAATAATAAGATATGATGAATACACAGGCTAGATCACTATCCCAGAGATCTCGAAAATATAGCTCCTGCTTGGTGAGAGGCTGAATTGGATGTTTTCTAAAACTCTGTGATTCTGATTCACTCATACTGTTACTGAGTCTCCAGACAAGTTAAGTTGGAAATGAGGGAGCAGGAGATGGAGGGTCTCCAGGGATCTGTCCTAGGATTTGTCATATTAAAATTCGTGTTCCTTCTGGCAAGGGAGATGACGCTAGGAATGTAGTGCCAACTCACAGGGTAAACGACGTGTCACACAGTTCTGTGAGTAGAAAGAAGTGACTTACAAGTAATGAACAAGAAACCGAGATTATATATTTGGGGATAAATTGTCAGAAATATAAGTATGGTCTCCTAGGTTTTATTTAAGCTCAGAAAGAGATCTCTGAAGTACCAGTCCAGGGTGTGGTCACAATCAAAATTATCTGTAAAATGCTATCATTAGGAAGGATTTTGAAAAGTGAAGAGAGAATTGTATTATTGATGCAAATAATCCATCATCAATCTATAAGTCAAAATTGGGGTGAGTTTAATATAAGCCAGATCTAGGGACTAGCCTGGGGCCTTCCTTTCCCGAGGAAGGAAGGGCACCAAACTAGTGAGGTGTACAGAGTGGTTATATACTGTCTTGGAACAAAGAGCATGCATCCCATATGACAGGAATGTCCCTTTTGCAATAGTCACGAGATTGCTTTACCAACGCAGCAGATAAGTGAACACAGCAGGTCAGCAGTCACAAGGTGAGCACAGCGGGTCAGTAATTCCTTAGTTTAGGGAGAGATGCTTGTCCTTAAATAAATGCCGATGTGGGGAAAGTTATGTCCCTATCTTTAAGGGCATTGTTCTTGTCTTTGGGACATTGCAAATGTTTTAAGCAGATGTACAGTGCATGCTCAATAGGCCACATCAGGCCCTTTTGGAAAGACAAGATCAGGTCGAATTAGTTTTAACCCAAGTGGCTTCCTCATATACTCTAATATATCCTATTGCTTGACATTTATTTATCAGTATCAACCATTATAAGAAACAAGACACAAAACTTGTCTTTCCTTACCTGTGTTTGGTTTGCTTATTGCATTTCAGGTGAAAAGGTGAATTGAAAAAAGCACAAGGAAGAGCATAAAGTGACCCAGAGACAGTGGGCCATTGGACACATGGGCCTGTCAATCTGAAAGTCAAGGCTGAGGAAGAATATTATCCAAATCTGTAAAATCATGGTGAGTATGGGTGGGTAGGTGACCTTGGACTTGCTTATCAAATTCCTGAACACTAAAAATTAAGGCAGCAACCTTTGGAACTTAAAAAAGGAATATTTAGAGGCAAAAAGTTTTATGTTATTTTCATGCTGTGTAAGAAAGGGATTTTTCCACCCAGAGGTGTATAGGAAGACATAATTTTGAAACTGACTTGTTAAGCAAGAAGGCATCTTAGAGACCATTTGACCAAATTGGTGCTTCACACATGGAGAAAGTGGCCCGAGGGAGATGAGGTGTCTTGGCCAAAGTGACATAGTTAGCAAAATCCAGGTAATTCAGCATTCGTTAAACAAATATAAGCACGCACTGTCAGGCACTGTATAAAGTTTATTCTATCCTGCCATGTGATTACATAAATCCGTTAACCATTTCTAAAGGTTTCTAAAGGATTTTTGATAGAAGCCAGAAATTTAGGCATATATCTTTTATAATGTTGACAGCATGAAAGACTGTTTAGCAATCCTACAAAACATATCCTCTTGCAACTGTCTGAGACAGAACAAAGGCCAGGATAGAACATCTGATAAATTCACATTTGATTACCCTTATTTAGTGGTTGGTACCTGTAGAAGTGCCAAAAATGATGAGATAAATATCTACCTTTTTGGGTTATCTGTGTGGCGGCTCTCCATTAGCACAGGTAAACAGCAGTTAATGATTCACTCGCTGTCTTCCCTGGGTTCTGCAGACATGGAGGTGTGGCCTCAAAGGCAGATAATGAGGAAACGTGTGTTACGTGGCTTTGTGTTATATTCTTGTAATTAGATTGGACTAGGTCCACTGAGGCTCAGAAAATTTATTATACTTTAAACTAATGAAGGTCACTACAACATACTCTCTGTAGTTGGCATTTGTGAATTTTTTCCTAGATCCTGTTCCTCCCATTAAACTCATCTTTAGAAAAGGCTCATTATTTGCTGGATTTTACAGATTCAGACTTTATGAAGACTCAAACTCTGAAGTTCCATTTTTAGTTTTTTACTTTTAAAGGACACTTTAAAGCAAATATAATAATACAAATTAAATTACAGGAAAAATGTTTAAACTCATCACAAAACAATTTTCCAACATTTTAGAAGTATATATCTTCCTATAAGCAATTGTCACACTAATTATAAAGCTGATCCTCCCTATTTGATAGGGATCTTGGAAAATAAGACTGGCGTACTTAATTGGCATAACAAGTATCACCCGCAGCTCTTCTCAGAAATGTTGGTATTGATGCGGGCTCGGCGATGCAAAGAGTCGAAAGAAAGATTTCTTGGACTCTCAAGGTCTGGTAGTAGTGCTCATATATTCAGAAAATAGCATGGAAACAGGACCCGTGGGCAGTAAAGAGCTGCAATGTGTTGAAGTTTAGGGCTAAATGTATAAGGCATGGGTATGTGACTTATGTTTACTAGACAAAGGAAAGATGATGTAAAAAGTCATTAAATGGTATCAGTGCAGGTGGGGTCTGGTTATCGTGTGGTCGTATAACTTTAGATATGAATTGGGTCATATAGATCGGCTTGTAGGCCAGGACGCCTTGGGCTTCTCTCCCTGGGGCAGCTTTGATCCACATCGGTATCAACCGAGTAAGCTCATTGTATATTATATATAAATTTTCTTTTTGATTCTTTTGGGAGGACTGAACTTACTCATTTGACAAATATTTTTCAGCATCTACTCTGTGCCAAGCACGAGGCTGGGCTAGAGATGCAAAGATAAGTAAGACAGTCTCCTCCTTCAAGGAAGCACGTGACTCTGCTCATGGCTCCATAGCAATTTTCCTCCACCAGCAATAACAGAAGGAAATTGACAGAGACTCGTCGTTTTTAGCATCACAGTGAAAATATTTCATGCTAATAGTAGACTAGAATCTTTGGGATTTTTTCTACACACCTTCATTTGGGGAATTTGGATTGTTAAAGAAAATATTTAATTTGAAGATCTCTTATGTTCCTTCTGCAGAACTAAATTTTTGAGAAGCAATAATTCAAAACTCTTTATGCCATTAAAAATGGGGAAAATAAAGATTTAAAGGCAGCTCCATACAAGCACAAGTGTTTGAGTAGTTATTGTAAGAACTCTACCTTTGCTTTAATTATTTGAGAAACTGCTTCAATCTTCATTACATATTGATTGTTTTAAAATGACTACTGATTCTGGTCTGATAGGCAAGGCTTGGAGTAAAAATGGACCTAACATGTTAAGACAAATGTATTTTAATCTGTTTTAATGGCTGTTAAATATTGGCCATTTTGGATTTTGAGGTGATCTGCAGTTTAGCTTCTCCCCGATCTATATCTGGGTCAACAGAGTGTTTCCCAAAATGTGTTCCAGAGAACCCTAGTTCCAGAAGACGTTAGTAGATGTTATACAAAAATGGTTCAAAGGCCAGCTACTCTAGGAAACGTTATGTCTATTTACTATAGGACTTCAGAGAACCAGCTGGTGACCAAGAGAGGGAGATAGAGCTTGCAACATCACCTAAAAATTTAATCAAAGAACTCTTTTTCTTAGGAACGGGGTGCTGTGCAATACTTTGGCAAATGCTTGTCTAGTGAATTCCGGAAGGAAAATAATTGAGAGTTGGTTATAGATATAAATCCTGTAACTTGCTTCTGCATTTCAGAGGGACCACAAACGGAGACAAAATTATTGGGCATTAACTGTGTGCCAGGCACTGTTCTAAGAACTTTACACTCGTTCACTCATTTGAAATTCAGAACAACCTTGGGAGGTAGGTACCATCAGCCCATTTTATGGATGCTGAAACTGTCCAAGAAGTGGAGAAATGAGGATTCAAACCCACTCTTAACTACTCCACTAGATGGCATTTCGAGAATCAGTTGTAGATCTAACCTTCTCACATCTGTCTACTCTCGCAACAGTGTTAACTGAGTTAACTGTTGTCACTTTTTAGAATGTTTCCACGTCCTATAGGGCTTATACCCCTTCCATACTCTTCCTAGATTCTGATAACTATTTTCACTTGTGTTTTCTTCCAGATAACCTGTAGAATAATTTGTCAAGTTCCAAAAATAAAATAAAACTTCTGTTGCGACTTTGATTGCAATTGTGTTAAAACCCTAAAATAATATGAGAAGAATTGACATTTTATGATATTCAGTCTTCCCATCCAGGAATATGATCTCCTTCAGTCCTCTTTAAATCTTGGGTCTTCTTTCATTTCTCAGGCCATTTTATAATTCTCTTCAAGTGCATTTTAACCAACTCAGACTCTCTCTAGAGATGAACTTTTGGGGGAGGGACAGCCCTCCCAAAACCATCTCAGTCCTCCTATAATGCTTTGGCTCCTCTCCTCATCCCACGGAAAAGCAGCAGAAGCAAGATAGCAGTTCATTCCTACAGATATCCAGAAATTAATTGTTCCTAATTTAGGAAGTGCCTACCTCACTAACGTGTTACCAGACATTATAATTTTATTTAAATATGTGAGGTTTCATGGTGTGTAGAGATGGAACTGACTCCAACAGTGAGTTCCTAAATAATTTTCTCAGCCTCTGCTCTGAGTAAAGACCCAGCCCCAGAGAGTGATTGAAAGGGAAGCTTTTCTGCCAGGCTTTTCATAGGGAAACAGGAAAACCCCAAGAAAGGGTTCCCTCCATCAGTACCATGTTCATTTCCATCGCTGGGTCACTGCTTGATGGATAGAAACCAAATAATAGTTTTACCATCCACGTAGAGAGCACAGAGCCAAGACTGGGAATGAGAGAGTGAGTCCTTTAGTTTGTCTCATCTATAAGGAAGAGGTGTGGATGCTTCAGCATCGTTACACACCTGCTATTTCGAGGTTCCTAAAATAAACATCTTCCAGGACAAGAAGAGCTATTACATGCTCTATTCAATTCTCTATTCATTATTGAGGCAATAAATCGCACACAAATAAACTCAAGTGGCTTCTTCGTCTTTGGAGGGACAAAAAAAAAAGTGGTTTATACTGATGGCTCAGGATGCATTGGACTAGACTGAGGAAGAATCTGGCATTTTTACTAATGGTGTGTGACTCCAGGTGTGCTCCTAGGAGGAAGCTCTAAAATTTTGTGATCTTCTTAGTTGGTTCCAGTGGCTGAGCCACCATCATCTCTGCCTCAGACCACTGCAGTGGTCTCCCTACAGGACATCACATCGATTCCTGCCCTGTGAGAGAAGAAATAAATATCTGATGTGTCTCTTAAGCCCTCAATTCAATCTGTTGACTATAATAGGAACTTGGTTCAATGTGATTAAGAGGAACAAACACTATTCTGGTTATTACCAGAAAGAAACATTTTCACAAATGTGTTTCAGTTGGGTCTGACCACTAACTTTTGCCAAGCCTCTCCTGTGGAAGTGTCAGGCTCTGGGCTGGCCCTGGGTATGGAGGTAGCTTGAGAAGAAGTGATGTTCTCTGCCTCTGAGTTGCTTACAGAGTCACTGGGACTAGAGACTCAAAAAGAGGTCATTATGGGGTGGTGGTACAAAGAAAGGGTAACGGGAACACAGAGGCGAGCAATTAGCTTTTCCTTTCTTGGGGTCTGGGGAGGAATAGAACTGGGTTTTGAGAGCTAAACAGGGGCATCTTATCCTCAACAGGGAGACATTCCAAGCAGAGGAGACGATGTGCACAGGTGCTGGGCCTGGTCAGGGGACAGTGAGCCGTGAGAGAACATTCTCAATTAATGAAGAGCTTTTAAAAAGGAAAAAGCTTGGAGACTCACGGTGAACTCCTGTCTTCCTCGTTTGTAGCGTGTCCTACCTTCTCTAACGACTGTCAGAGTGAAGGCTGGACTTTGAGCTCGCTCTTTTAGTGTTGAGGGTATCGGGGAAGGGTATCATTATTCTTAGATGCAACGTCAGAGACTGCTGGTTGTCCCTCAAGATCTGCTCTGTTTTACTCTTATTTAGTAACAGAATCTTCCATTTTTAGCCAACCACATGGCTATAGGGAAGAATGACAGTATTTCCCAGCCTCATTTGCAGCTAGGTACGACTGTGTTCCTAAGTTCTTCTGGCCCACGGGCTGTAATTTCCGGGAAGTGTCCTTAGAGGGCGAGATGTGTGCCTTCCTCCTTCTGAATTCTAATGGAATGAGAAAGTAGAGCCCCAGAAACCACTTTCAACCATGAAGTGATCTCAAGAATGGATGCTAAGTACAGCAGAGCCACAAAATAGAAGGTTTCTTGTCCCTGTCACCATGGAACTGCCATACCAGCTCTGGACTGCTTGCTACCAGACCTATACATTAAAGGAAATAAATTTCTCTCTGCTGTAAACTGTTTTTATTTTGCAGTCAAACCTAATCCTAATCCTAAATGATGTAATGTGAAACTTGAAAAGGAGGCCAGAGGACATGCTTCATTGCAGTGCTTTTTAGACTTAAATTATCTCAAAACCCTTAGTTTCTTAACTTTGAAAAGCTTGATAATTGCTTAATTATTTATGTAGTCTGGAGACACTATCTCACTTTGGGAAAGAAAAAGGAGAATAATGAAGACGGCCAACATCACTCAGATTTTGGATTATTGCTGTTTCACCACAATGCCCAGGAATCTGCCACTCTTGATGGAGCAGCCTGGGCATGTCCACAGGGAATTCAGAGGGTGTCTCACTTCCACTGGGACAGCACTATCCCCTACTCTCTGAGAGTGGTCCTCTTGGGCACACAGGGTGTAGGTTAGGGTGACCTGAAAGTGAGTGTGCTGCTGTTGGCTGTTCTAACACGTGGAGGGGGCAGAATTCATTAACAGAGAAAGAGTGAAATCCCATCACTGAGGATAGGAAAGCCACATTTCTGTAATAACTCAAGTAAAAATAAATTTCCATAAAAGTCAATGACATTATAGAAAATTAAAAACAGTAAAGGACATTTCACAAGTAAATTCTCAAGTAGTTCAAAAGAGCAGGTACACAATTTGAAATGCAGAGTCACAGAATGTCAGAGAAAACTGGGACACACATAATGTCTTACCAAAAGAAGAATAGTTGTTGCTATTTTTTAAAATAGCACTTATTTTATTCTGATTATAAAATGTCATATAATTGGCCATCAGAGAAATGCAAATCAAAACCACAATGAGATACTACTTCACACCCACTAGGATGGCTATATCAAAAAGACAGATAATAACAAGAGTTGGTGAAGATGTGGAGAGAGTAGACCCCTTATACACTGCCGATGGGAATGTAAACTAGTCCACTGCTTTGGAAAAGTCTGGCAGTTCCTCAAAAGATTAACATATAGTTAACACATGACCCAGCAATTCCACTCCTAGGTGTATACGCAAAAGAAATGAAAACATATGTGCAACCAAAAACTTGCACATGAATGTCCATAGCAACAGTATTCATAATAGCCAAAAAGTGGAAACAACCCAAAGATCTATGTCTTAGTCAGTTAGAGCTGCTATAACAAATTGCTAGACTAAGTGGCTTAAACAGCAGAAATTTATCTCTACGGTTCTGGAGGCTGGAAAGTCCAAGATCAGGGTACCAGCATGTTTGCGTATGGTGAGGAGCTCCTACCTGGTTTGCAGATGGCCATCTTCTCATTGTGTCCTCACAGGGTGGAGAGAGAGGAAGCAAGCTCTCTCCTGTCTCTTCTTGTAAGCACACTAATCCCATCTGGAGGGCCCTACCCACATAACCTAATTACCTCCTAAAGGCTCCATCTCCTAACACCATCACATTGGGGATCAGTCTTCCACATGTGAATTTTGGGGGTATACAAGCATTCAGTCCATAGGAGTTCATAAACTGATGAATGGATAAATAAAATGAATAAAATGTGGTATGTCCATACAATGGAGTATTATTTAGCAACAACAGGAAGTGAAGAACTGATAAGATGCTACAACATGGATGGACCTTGGAAACATTATGCTAGTGAAAGAGGCCAGTCAGTCATAAAGGACCGCATATTGTATGATTCTATTTATATGAAATGTCCAGAATAAGCAGATCTATAGAGACAGATGGTAGAGTAGTGGTTGCCTAGGGCTGGGGAGGTTGGGTGGAATTAACAGGTAACTGCTAAAGGGTATGGGTTTCTTCCCAGCAGGATGCAAATATTCTAAGATTGATTGTGGTGATGGTTGCACAACTCTGTAAATAGGCTAAAAACCATTGAACTGTACACTTTAAATGAGTAAGATATGTGATATATGAATTAGATCTCAATAAAGTTGCTACCAAAAAGGCAAAAAATGTTATATATTAATTGTGGTAAGAGAGAAAACATAAGTAAAACTAGTATAAGTTTCCTCACCAATCTGTGGTATGAAGCAGTCCGTCTCTTATTTCTCCAGATGATCACTCCATCCTCTTTGAAGCCATGCTTCCCGCCAAAAAACCCTGGGCTTCTGCATGCAGAGGGGGAGTCCTTCCCAGTGCCAGGAGAAAGAGCACAGGAGCCCCAAATCACCACCCTTTCGTGCTCCTGGCCCTGAGGCTGCATCCTTGGCGTTAGGAGTCTTGGGGAATAAAACCACAGAGGTAAAGTGCCATTTTCATCACATCATATCGAGGGTACTTACTGTCAACATCACTTGTCACTGTTGATGTTGACCTGGATCCCCTGGCTGAGGTAGTGTTTGTCAGGCTTCTAGACTGTAAGGTTACTGTTTTTCTCCCTTTCCATACTCTACTCTTTGGAAGGAAGTCACTATGCACAGCCCACCTTTAGAGTAGAGAGTTATGCTCCATCTTCTAGAGGACAGAGTACCTACACAATTTATTTGGAATTCTTCTGCATTGGAGACTGGTTCATTCTCCCTGTATTTGTCAGTGTTCTCGAGAGAAACAGAGCTAACTGTGTATATATTAGAGAGAGAGAGATTGACTATGAGGAATTGACAATTGTGGACGTTGGCAAGTTCCAGGATCTACAGGGTGAGTTGGCAAGCTGGAGACCCAGGAGAGCGGATGGTGTAGTTCTAGTCTGAGTCCAAAGCCTGAGAACCAGGAAAAGCCAACATTCCAGTTTGAGTCTGAAGGCAAGAAAAAAGCCTATGTCCCAGTTCAAAGACCGGACAGGAAGAGTTCTCTCTCACTTGAAGGAAGGTCAGCCTTTTTGTTCTGTTCGGGCTTTCAACTGATTGGATGAATCTCACCTACATATGAAATCATAGTTTAGCCTAGCCTACCTTAAACGTGTTCAGAATAGTTACATTAGCCTACAGTTGGGCAAAATCATCTAACACAAAGCCCATTTTTAATGAAGTGTTGAATATCTCATGTAATTTATTGAATTACTGAAAGTGGAAAACAGAATGGTTGAATAGGCATAGAATGGTTGTCAGCATATCGGCTGTTTACCCTGGTGATCATGTGGCTGACTGGGAGCTGTGGCTCGCTGCCACTGCCCAGCATCACGAGAGAGGATCATATCGCATGTTGTATGTTTCCCGGGGAAAGGTCAAAATTCAGAATTCGAAGTTCAGTTTCTACTGAATGCGTATCACTTTCACACCATTGTAAAGTCAAAAATCATAAGTTGAACCATTGAAGTTGGAGACCACTTGTGTACTTCCATTTGGTGATGGACTGCTACTGTGCACGCCCAGCTTTGTGGCTTGGTGGGTCATGTAACACTCATTTCATGATGGGAAGCTCAGGTCGCATGGTAATTTGGTGGCCTGTGGTTAAGCATTCAGTCTCTACTAAGGCCCAGTAGCAGGCCAAAAGCTGTTTCTCAAAAGGAAACAACCATTCTATGCCTGGTCACATCCTCCTGTTCAGTGAGGCCCTTGTTCTTTCCTTTCCTGTCGTCTCCTGTTTCTCTTCAGCTCAACCCAGTTCAGGGGAAGAGAAAGCTGGCAGTGCTGTTTGTTAGGGGGAGTGGGAAGAGCACCAACTCATGAAGCAATATGACCTCTGGCCCCACCTGTTCATGTCACAATGTCAGATAAATCAGCAGAGTAGACAGCTGGAGAAAACCTGGAGCCATTCCTACATCTGGACAACTCGCGGTATCTTAACTATATGTGAGATGACTGTGAACCACGTAGATACCTCCCAAGAAACCCTTGCTAAATGAATCCCCCCACTCAACTTCCTCTTAGCCAGACGCCAAGTCCCTGTAGCCACTCCAGCACTACCCAGCACAGGGGAAGTGTGACAGAGGGGAAGTTGGAGTGAAAAAGACACAGCCATTAGCCAGTTGTGGTTAAAATGTCTTATTTTTGTAAATTTTACAAAAACAAATGACCATGTGAATACGTTGCAAGAGCGTTTCCCAGGACTTGGAAGGACTGTGCAAATGAGAGACCCAGCAGCTTCAAAACTGCTTATTCAATGGATTACATAACTGAGTGAGTGAATAAATGAATAAATTGAGAGGATAAAGGAGCATCCTTGGTATTCGCATCTTCTAGTTGATAGACTTGAAAGATCTGACAAGGCCAGCATTACAATCCAGCCTCTGGACCCCAGTTCAATTCCCTTTCCATAGAATCATGCTTCAGCTATTGATGATGTCCAGGAATGTAGAAACCAGCCACTAGAGTTCCTTTTGGTGACATTTCTTCCTTCAAATTGACGTTTTAAAAAAACCAAAATCTCTAGTGTGAACAAGCTGTTCACTCTGTAAATTCTTAATTTAAAATTGTCAAATAAACACACTACCACCTATGAAGTTATGTTGCCAAAAATATTGAACCTGAACCTGATCAAGCTTCTAGACCTGACTACCAATTTAGTGGAAATTTTGAGGGCAGAGGAATATATTAACCAACATCACAGGGACACAATCTGCAAAATCCAGTCTGTGGGAAACCCGACAGGACACATGAACCAACTTCAGTATATTAATAGCAAAGAAGGAAAAAGAGTGAGCTGAAGAGGGAAATATAGATTTAAAGATATTTAAAAGACTTACAACTAATTGCTTGTGTGGATTTTATTTGAATCCAGATTTTAAAAAAAAAACTATAAAAAACATTTGACATGAATGAGACAATTGGAATTTGAACACTGACTTGGTCTTAGAGATACACACTGGGGAAAAAATTGTCAAGTGGAAAATAGTACATATAATGACTATCATCTTTGAAAGCTCATTGTTTTGTAATTATAAAATAATAAAAGGTAAAAGTATTGTCTACTTCTCTGCTCCTCACTCCTCTCCTTGGAGGTTGATAATTTAGTGTATATCCTTTCTATACACATATACATATAATTACATGTCATATAATTATAAAAAATATGTTTAATAATTATATAATATATATTTCTTTTTAATAAGACTAAAACAATCTGGGTAGT